CAACAACAACAGCAATTCGTCCTCGACGACTGACTAACTGACTGGCTGTGTGCCTGTTTGTCACTGCAGTATTGCAGCATTTTGACTGCTGTCACAGTTGAAGAGAGACAGCAACAGCAGCAGCAGCAGCAGCAGTGTACGACCAATCTGTCAGTTGATCGGAAATCGATCACTCTCTCCCTCTCACAGGAAGCAAATTCACACTGCTGTGCGCAAATATTGACCATTGGTGTGTGCGAGTAGTACACATTGGTCTTCTCACACGGTCCAAGGATAGCACTGCTGGTGAAGAAGCTGAAGGTCAAAGAGAAAAGAGAGAAGGAAGACAGGCATGACCACCACTACCACCACTACCACCACCAAACACTCTTTTATCACGATCCTCAGAGTTCCTCAGCAACTGCTGCTGTTGGTCAGTTGGCAACAGCAGTAGTCTAAATTAGGATGCGACATTCATTTCTGCCTCTTCTTCTTCTGCAGCTGCTGCTGCTGTCGATGTTTAATTGCACTGGCCGCACAGCAGCAGCAGCATTGTCACCGACACAGCATTGTCCAGCAATGACAAAGACAATGACTGACTGACTGACTACTGTCCGAATGACTGACTGACTGTCACCTTAGAGAGACCACACACTTGCACTGGTCAGCAGCACAGAACAGTTTGAGTACAAGAACACTAACACTAACACACACTGTTTCAAAGATTCAGGAGAGTGCACTGTAATAGGCAGGCAACCATCGGCAATCTTGGAATTTATGAACTTGGTTGTGGCTTCTACTGAGCAGCAGCAGCAGGGGCAGCAATGGCATCACCAGGTGTCGAACTCCATTTGCCTAATTGCATCAGTGATTGCATCATAGAAGGTGCAAAGCACAGCAAAGCACAGTGAAAAGACCGTGCTAACAAGCACAAGCTCAGCTAAATCAGCAGCAGCAGCTTTCACTTTTTTTATTTTCTTTTACATTGCATAATTTACGATGCGAGCTGGGAATTTGGTGCTGAAGTGGTCACCCTTCCCTTCCCTTCCCTTCCCAGAGGATCGTGATCCTCGATTGGAGTTGCCGACACTGCTGTCCAGTACTGAGCAGCAGCAATCAGCGTCTACCTCCGAGTCATTGCCGCCANCAAGCTCAGCTAAATCAGCAGCAGCAGCTTTCACTTTTTTTATTTTCTTTTACATTGCATAATTTACGATGCGAGCTGGGAATTTGGTGCTGAAGTGGTCACCCTTCCCTTCCCTTCCCTTCCCAGAGGATCGTGATCCTCGATTGGAGTTGCCGACACTGCTGTCCAGTACTGAGCAGCAGCAATCAGCGTCTACCTCCGAGTCATTGCCGCCACTCGAAGTGAACACCTGCTGCTGCTGCTGCTGCCGATGTCGGCGTCGGTCTGAGTGCCAGCGCCAATCGATTACCCAGGATGATGGTTGGCAGTGTGATCACTATCACTGCCAATGACAGGGTAGCCGCCTGCTACACCTACTCCTACACCTCTTCTCCTTCACCAAATCAGTGTCAGCCAGTCAGTCGGGTTCTGCCGACAAAGACATCAGTGGAACTGCTGCATTCGCTGCTGCTGATTGGCTGTAAACTAATAAAAAACTAGAGAATGAAAAGTGAGCATCCGGCGAAGGAGCAGCAGCACGAGCACTGGTCACCAGATGGTCGCCGGTACCACCGAGCAGCCCGAAACGTATCCTTTCTTTACCCATTAATAAAAAGGGATTCCATCTCAGAGGGAAAGGGGTGCCTGATAAGAAGATGAGCAGAGTAAGAAAGGGGAACACTAGGATACCTGCAACAGAAATAAAGAGAGGTACCACACATCTCCCCGAGCACCTAAGCCAGTGCAGTGCAAGTGCGTACCATCAGCAGTAGTAGTAATGGCAGTGTGCTCACCTGTCTGTAATGGCAGCATCAGCAGCAGCAGTGCGTCATCTCCAGTGTGCATCTACACCTCCTCTTTCCCTCTTTCCCTCCGTTCTCCTTCTCACCTGTTCGATATATAAAGAGAGGGGAATGGGAGAGAGAGACAGGTGGACTGGAGAAAGTCGGCGATAGAAGTCAGTCAGTCAGTCATCAGAGTCTTTGCCATTGAAACGCATAGCACAACGATTTTTCCTCCTCAAGAAGCAGCACATGCACATCAGTTTTTTGTGTTCCCTCTTTACATTTTGGATCTATTACTCTCTACTACTA